TAAGGAATCTGAAAATAGGTTCATATGCTCTTAATTTAAGCAGATAAATATGATGATCTGCCAATGTAATGACTATTTTTGTCATTAAAATTAGATAATTGGATATGATGCATTTAAAATAAGAACAATTAGATGTTTTTTCCTAAAAATTAAACATCTTATTTAATTGAGAAATTATTTTACATACCTCATCATATTAAGGGAAGGTAGACTTTTTAAAGAGATTGATTAGTTATTAATATTACTTATTAAGTGGGTTCAGATGAATCACTGAAACCAAACACTCACTGTACGTAATGCCAGTTGTTGGTGCCATTCCATAACTGGTAACAGTGAGAGGCCAGTTTTTTTTTTTTTTTGGATAACCTTTATTCATTAATACAATCATTAGGTTTCCTTAGTTCATTTTTGTCTCATATAAGTGCCCCAAATTATGCAAAATGAACTTTATATATATACATATTGCCAAGTCATGTGTCCTGAAACCTGTTCACAAGGTTCACAAATAAAAAAAGAAACCCTTTCACCTCTATCATTGCCTTTCTCCACCTCTTAGATGTGTGCTCAAAATACTCAGTTTGAAAAGCATTCCCCTGATGATGTCATAAGGGGAAATAAGCTGTCCAGAGCGGTCTGTCTTTAGCCCATCACTCAAGCTACAGCCTTCACATAATGTATTATTCCATGCTCCTAGGCCATCATTACAAAGGCTAGATGGTTGTCATGGTTGCAGGTTGTGAGGGATGGCCTTCGGTAGGACAAGGGTGTGGAAAGCCAAAACGGCTAATTTAGAAGAGGGCTGAATGAGCAGCTTTTTGCTAAAGGCTACTTGCTTAATCTGACAGGAATTTTTCTGCACAAATGGCTATAAACCTTCTCTGTGGGCCTGAGTGTTAATTTTTCTTATTTTCAGAGGTAGAATAATATGGCCTTTAAAAGATTGTTGATCATTTCAAACATTTAATGGGACAAAACTAAATTGAGAACAGTTTAGGAACAGACCAGATGAAGCTACTATGAGAAAAAGCAGAGAGACTGTAGCTTCTGAGATTCAACAAACAAATTCTGCAGAGTGGGAGAATAGAGATAGAATGAAGCAGAATGGTAAAAAGGGGTCCCTATGTCCTCCAGCAGTCTAAGCCTATA